GTCTTTTATAGCGACGATGGAGGAGGGGCACACAAGCAATTACTTTCACGTCCATTTCCAAACTGAGCCAGTGCGTATGCTCCACTAAACAGTCGTCTAACGCCGAGCTAACTCGCGTTTAACGCAACGCAAAACGCCTAGTGTGTACACAGCCTAAGTGGTTAACATGCTCTGTTTTCCCACCACCTATCAACAATAACTTAATGTACTTTCAAGAAAATAAAACTCATCAAGTTAGTCCATTTTGCTGGGAGGCAGAAACGTACTGACTATCAGAAAGCGCGCATAGTGTACCCACCTTGTTCTGACGAGGATTTCGGACATACTTGTCAGAACAAGATTTCGTCAGAATTCGCATCCACAATAACCGTAGCCTAAGAGCAGACGATGTTTTCGGATTCAGAAAATAAAGAAATCGGGCACGAGAGGGCGTTTTTCGGAGAGTGAAGGTCTTTATGCTCGTAGTTGGGGAACGCAAAGAAACAAGCAGACTATGGGAGGAAATTTTGTTATTAAAGTCACTATGGAAACTCAAGTCGAGTCTGATCATATAGTTGCATCGTTTTAAAAGTAGCCATAACACATTAGTTAGCTAAACAGCGCTGCAATCAGCAGAGAATATTAAATGGGCAGCAAAGTCCTTTCAGGATGACATAAAATCCATATCAGAAAACCATGCATTCAATAACGACCAGTGCGGTTTCCAATACGAAATAATGTCTAGAAGGACTTACACTTTCAAAGATGAAAAATCAATTTTCGGGCGCGCTCAATCACCAAACCTCTGTTAATACAAGCTACAGCGTACAGTATGTTATTAATAGAGATGGTGATGTCGTTGGCAGCGTTTTCTTATGCTTATAACTGTTACAAGAACGTTTCAGGCCAAAAATGTAGAGGAGATTGATAGTTTCACGCCTTCTAACGTCACTATCACTTGTAGCACGTCAGGCAAAATGAGCAAGTCTCTAAATGAATTCATTTTAGAAAGAAAAATGGTCCCGAACATAAAGAAAAGTTTCCTTCTTGTGATAGATTTGTGGTGCAGACACAAGTATGGATTCATACACAAAATTTTTCGGTCAAGCTGCCAATATCCCACAAATTACTTTAAAAATTGTACTAGACAGTTAAAACACCTCGCCAAAGAAATTCTTACAGGCAGTGCCGGCCCGAGGCAAGTTTTAGGATAGAGCGAGATCCTATTATGGCCCCCCTTGGTTGCCCCTAATTTATACCCTTTAATTTTCTTTACCACTGAGGCATCCCCCTAGGACTTAGCGCCTGGAGTTGCTTACCAGTTCGCCCTATGGTAGGGCCGGCTCTGCTTACAGAACTAGAGGTATTCGCAGTAGCGTAGCGTGGGTGTCAACCGCCCGGGGCGGAGGAAAATTTCTCCGCCCTCTTATTTAGGTATCTCAATTTAAAGAACTAAAATTCAGTTTCGTCACAAAATAAGTAATGAAAAATTCCGTGTTCATTTCAATCGGTCCGAATCGTAGGTGCGACAAAAATATGAAATGAAATGGTTCAAATTTTTACAAGATATTATTATTTATTGTGAAATTTTGCCGCCCCCTAAAAGTGCCGCCCGGGGCGGGCCGCTCCTGCCGTCCCCACTACGCTACGCTACTGAGTATTCGTCAACGCCAAAGAAGTACACAACGGTGATAATTGAAACACATGCTAAGGGTGTTATCAAGTTGTTATCTCTCTTGCACTTTCAATTATCTGCTGATATTTTCAAATACGGTTCGTTTACTCGTGGTGTTCTCCTGGACTTCTGACTGGCAGAAAAAATTCCACAGCATCAAGGAAGTGTATTTTACATTTACAGTATGCATGACGCGCAGCCGGATAGCCAATCGGTCAAGGTAGCAGCCTACCGCTGTAGGGTACCCGGGTTCGAATCCGAACGGGTGGAAAAATTCCCAGGAGTTTTTCGGGGGTAGTTCGTTCGGATATGTCGGGCTCCGTCCCTCACCACCCGGCAACCCCATTGTGGGATTGGACGATCCCATAATGGCCTTGCAAAAAGAGGCCCTCTTAGTGCCCACAGGACGGAAAGAGTTAAAAAAAAAGTACGCATGATGCTGTAAATTGTGATCAAACTAAATTTATAAAATGAACCCATTATCTCAAGTGCTTATGTGTGCATGATTGAAAGCCACTTTTTTTTCTGCACCACTTCTCCCTTTCCTGAGTAAAGAATATTAAATATTAATGTAATCGCCAAAAATAATTAGTGTTGAGAATGTACTAGATGCTGCTGTCCTGATTGGAATAAATAAGCTCGCCGCATGAAATGACTTTGATTTACTGGTTAGACTTCATTTCTAAAGTTTTATTAAAATATTAATGTAGCTGTTTATAAGTTTCATTAAAATATCAACGTAAGTGCTTTTAATGATATTGATATAATTATCAATATAACAATAATACGCCATTGACTTTCTCCTGTTGCTCCTCTCTTCTCAAGCAGATCAGTGTCTTCATGTTGTCTTTTGTCTTCTAATATAGGAGGGGAGGAATTGGCGTCTTAACCTCGATAACGGAGTTAGATAGATGAAACGCGAAAACAGATATGAAAACCTTACGGACAGGAAGCCCCGATTAACGATATACGAACTACCGATTCAAATCGGAAGTCATGTTATTTCAATTCAAAACTTTCCCCTGAAGGTGTTAGATGACCGGCACGACTCTATTGTTATTAAAGAAAAAGTATGATGTACTATACATGGGCAAGACACTATTAATTTGAAGTGGAGAGCATATGTTTTAAATGAAATAAATTAAAAATATGATTAAAAATTGCCGCTGGGCATTGCGACAATATCATAATTGCTCGTTTCAGTTAGGTTATTGCTTCTTATAGGGTTTGCTAGTTTAGTTTCTGTATTAATTTTAGTATTAGTTTGAAGCATTTACTTTAATTTTAAGCCTTAAACTTTATTCTGTCTAGCTCAGTGGTTCCCAAAGTGGACGCTACCGCTCCCAGGGGCGGTGAGTAAATCTAGGGGCGCAAAAAGAAGCAAGGGGCGGCAGGGGGCACTGGAGCAGAATCGAACGGTAACCATAGGCAAAGCTCGCCTGCGCGGCACATAAATTCTCGTGCGCGGCAACAATTTGAGCAGTGCGCGACCGCGCAGCCGCGCAGCTTAGAGGGAACATTGGTAGTAACCTTATGTACAGTACGTACACCGCTCAGAGGGATCTCTTCCTTCTCTTCTTTCTATATCCTCGCCCTCCTTCTTCCCTTCCCATCTCTTCTCCCCCTTCCGCCGGCTAAACGCTTTGGGTACGGCTGTTGTCTTTCGTTAAGATCAGTGTCCGTGTGACGGAACTACTGTATTATTCGTCTGTCAGGAGAAGTAGTTTCAAATTTGATTAATCATAACCCGTTTATTATCGCTCAAAGAATGAAACGGTTTGCATGACTGCATTATCATATCAAACACTATCTTTGTGCCAAAATTCATCAAAATCGGTGAAGGAAATTGATGTAGTACTCTTTGTAAGAGGGCCTCTTTTTAGCGGTTTATTATGGACTAGTAGCCCGGGACGCTCCCTAGTGGGTGTTGTTTACAAATTTCCATGAAGCACGATTCCTTTGAATTTTTTGTTCCTATCATTATGCTCTACAGCTCTGTTAAAGTCACAATGGTAAGATTAGGTGAAGAGATGGCAACCCCCCAAACTGTAGCCCCCTGTGCGAACAATAAAGGCAAAGGAACCATACCCCTACTTGCGACCCTTCGCGAGATATAAGCCCCTGAAATAATAAATTCCTATTACAAATATACTGAATTATTTATATTGTTATATTGACCAAATAATAATTTATTGGGCAAATGAATAATAATAATTTATATTGTTAATTTAAATAATAATTAAAATTGTTAATTTGAATTTTTGAAATATGGCACACGATAGGGGCGCCTCTAGTGTCCGTTATCAAACGGTTACGGGACGGACGGACACGTTGAATGGGTTATATATAGAGATTCGGCCAACAATACAATAGGAGAGACTGGATGGTGAGGGACGCGCACGATATATTCGGACAGACTACTTCCCGGAAAATTCTTAGAGTTTTCCGGCCCATCCGGATTCGATCCCTGGTCCCCAGAGCAATAGGTTGCTATTTTAGCTTATCGGCCGTCCGGCCGTCCATCGTACTGCACTGTCATAGGGCCAACAGATGACGTGTGTGCCACAGATTAAAGGTGTGCTCATAGGACAGATGGCGCATGCACGCACGACACCAAAGACGCCGTCTAGCATTCTTATCTGACTTTTTAATAAAAACTGGAATATTGTCCATTTATACTCGAATGGGGGATTTGTCTGATTTGGAACACTTCGTTCGATCGGGATGAAGTGTTCCAAATATATGAACACACTTAGCAAATACACACACATGTATTTTTTTACGTAAACGTTTTTGGTACAGTATCGGGTCGCGCTGCATAGCGCCAAAATCGCCACTTGGCGATAAAAATATAATACTGGCGATAAAAACCCCAGTCTGCTCGTTTTTACATTCAGCATGAAATTGAATCACAAATCACACTTCAGGAAAAACAGCAAAATGTCGAGCTTCAATACAATGGGAGTCCCGTGCACCACACACCTAGCGATTTCATGACGTCACGTGGCAAGTTCGGACAAAAAACGTTGAGAACAGAAGGCAGTTTTGTTTAATGCCATCCAGCGTTTTTAGATTGGGGATTTTTTTTATCGACAGAAAGAAAATTTGGGGAATTTTTTTAGAAGACTTTTTTCACTTTGATCTTTTCTCACTCCGACATTCGACTCTTTACGAGATATTTGCCTCCAAATGTGGAATCTAACGGCGGCAGTTCCGGTCGCCATCTTCCTTGCGGATGTCATGCTTGCAAGCAAATTATGTTATAGGCATGGCGATCAGTACCTATAACAAATAATAAATGTATTAACTTCTACTAACCGAAAACAGTTTTTCTCGTGTAGCCTACCAGTACTACTGCCTATTCTCCTTGCTCTGCGTTGCCAAAGTTCGCTATTCTCGCCTTGACTGACGCTCCGCATGTAGTCGTGCACTTCGGTGCTCGCTATCGCTCGCTCCTCAGCGACCGGCGAGCCCCCACATCCCCTAAAACATCACGTATTCCACGAACAGTTAAGTGGGCTAATCGAAGCCGGCATAGTCACGTGGGCTAAATAGTTAAACGCGATAGTCTTAACGGAGCGCGCGACGCGATTTGCAATCGCGTGCAGCTAATTTCGGGAGCTATATCTCTCAGAGGTCACATTTCGAGATATGATTCCTTTGACTCTTTTTCTCATATGGACATGCTCTACAGTTTTGTTAACATCCCAACAGCGCCATTCACATCTACAATTTTACCGCTACCAGCACTTGCATTAATTAGTAAGTAAAAGTAAAACTGGTGGCGATAAATAATTAGAAGTGGCAAAAAAATTTAAAGCTGGAGAAATGGTGCCGATATTTTTAAATTTTTCGGAGCGACTCCAGTATCTAAAAATTCATTACCTGTTCAACCATTACCTGTTTAATCTTTGCTGTGGCTTTCTTGTAATAACTGCAATATACTTTTACTTTTCCGGCTATTATGTGTACTTGTATATAACAAAGTATTGGAATCGTATTGAATTTGACCCTCCGGTTTTTTGTGAATCTCTGAACCCAAAAAAGTAAACAAAAAAAGGGGGAAATTTCGTGTGCATGGATGGGGTAAAAATTAAGAAAAGAAATTTTGCATGGTAGCTTGTGTATAAGGAGCATTGATCTATTAAATTTTGATGGTTAAAGGTTGAGGGGTGGGAGATACATACATACATACATACATGAAAGACAACGGCCGTACACGAAGTGTTTAGCCGGCGGAAAAGAGGGTAAAAGAAAGGGGAGGAGAAGAAGGAGGGAGAGGAGATAGACAGTAGAGAAAGGTAGGATCCCTCTGAACGGCGTACGTATGGCTAATGTACCCACTATGTTTGATGATGGCGTGCAGTTTTTAGGCTGCAAGGCCGTAGCCCAAGGGTATCACGTGTCATATCTCGAGAGGGGTCAGACATAATGAAGATTTTACTCATTATTAGCATTTAAAATTTTTATAAAACTCATCACTACCCTTAAAATTAAGCTTTTTGCCTTTTTTATAAAATAACTAGCTGTTACCAGTGACTTCGCCCGCGGAGATTTTCAAGCAAACCCTATTTATATTCAGTATTTCAACAACCATAGTAATTGTTATATAACACCTACCGCTGAGAATCAAACGAACTGTTTTCAATTTGATAAACTTTATGAAACGTTTACAATCGTTCTATAATCGAACCAATATGCAATAACAAATTCGAATTTAAAACGGTTCGAACATTTAGTTAAAAAATCGAAATATATGAAAATATTTATAACAATCTCTGAAATGTTATCAGTTTAATACACCTAAGTACTTAATGAAGACTAAACGTTGTTGAAAAAAAGAAAATCGCATCTAAAATAGTACAGTAGAAGTCGTTCTTTCGGGTAAGCCTTAATGTTCTTCCTCTCCCCCCGCAAAGGAATTTCGAAAAATCCCTTCTTAGTGTGCGTTTCCATTACGTACCCTAACTGTGTACCAAATATCACCTCGTTAGGTTCAGCAGTTTGCTCTGGGCGATGATGAATCAGTCAGTCAGGACAAGTAATTTTATGTACTGTATATAGATAATAATATGAAAAGTTTTTTATAACAAAATCTCATAACAAATGGCGCCACACACAATTTTATTTATTATGATTAACAATATAAAAATTATTTTTAAAACTAGCAGGTGGGCCCGGCGTTGCTGCGGCAAAAGTAACGATAACTAAGGTAAAGATTATTACGTTACAGTAAACCTTACCCATTTTCACAAAATGCAAGAATTGGGTCCCCTTGTTTCCACACTAATTAGAGAATTTTTAGATGGGTCTAAAAATATGTTTGATTTCCCGCAAAACGAAAAAAAACTGCATCTGCGTATTGCACGTCGCTTTCTCTTAACAATTCCATTGTTACTTAGCACTTCCATTGTTACTTAGCACTTCCATTGTTACTTAACACTTCCATTGTTGATGGAAGTGTTAAGCCTTAATCCTGTCCCTCTCTCCCGTGGGGAGGAATTTCGAAAAATCCCTTCTTAGTGTGCGTTCTCCTAACGTACCCTAACTGTGTACCAAATTTCAACTTTCAACTCCTAACCGTTTGGGCTCGTATCCATAATGTATATAGAAGTTTTAATCCTGTCTCTCTCCCCCCGGGGGGGAATTTCGAAAAATCCCTTCTTAGTGTGCGTTTTCGTGACGTACCCTATCTGTGTACCAAATTTCAACTTTCAACTCCTAACCGTTTGGGCTCTGCGCTTATTATTATTATTATTATTATCATCAACCCGTCTCGATTATATATTAGATAAAATCTCATAATAAGCCGAGAGAGTTATGCAGCTCGTTGCTGGGTTGTTTTGTTTTCGGTTCCGATTATGCGTTCGGAGATATCGGGTTCCAAAGTTCAGAAATTTTTCTGTCATTTCATATGGAGATTCGATAAGAAACTTTGCAAAATTCCGTGTATTATCACGAAATTATGCATGATATCACGAAATAACCACCCGTAGGCAATATAAAAAATATACTCCTAGAAAACAGATATAAATCAAAATATATATCCGATAATTAAAGAATAATTAATTTTATCACAAATTTACCAATATATTGATATATTGTACGAAGCAATGTGTGGTCTTGAGCACTTTCCGACGTAAATTTCTGGACTTTATCACTCTCCGTTGATCATTTTGTAACTATTACATCGTCTATCATTACATTGTGACTCCAAAGTTGTACCTCATTTATTCCCTCTTTAATCAAGACTTGGGCTTAAACGTAGACAAAAAATTTCGTAATCCACTTTTGGGAGCGTGAATATATTTCAAGTAATCCAGACTACAAGTAACTTTTAATTTTTAATTCTAAATTAACTTTTTCTATTCAATACGCAGGTACCGTGGGTTGCCCACTAGTAACAAAAATTCTAGTAAAATTTGATACACTTAACATTATTTGGTAGACTTATAAAGTTTGTATATATACAATATATACGTATATATACTATAAATTTACCAAATATCAATTTAAGTTTATCAAACTTTATTGGAACGTATAAATGTATATACATAAATAATTTATAGTTTATAAGCAGGGTTTCCGCTAGAGGGTGGGCACGCNATTTAGCTGGGCCGTTTTTAATTTTACTGGTTGGTGTTCAAGCACCATCTTTTTAAGCATTAATTTAAACCAGTGTGCCGCGAGAGGATCGTAGATGTGCCATGAAAGATTTTGAAAGTTATTAAATAATGAAATGAAACTTTCTTTATATCAAAAAAATATATATGATTGTCCATATTTAGTTCAAATTATTTTAACTTAGAAATAGTGGGACATTTGGCAGGTTTCTACAGGCAATTGTCATGCCACTTTTAAATGCAAATTAAGACTTAATGTTAATTGCTTTTCTTATATAAATAAAAATTATTACTTTAAATAACTATTGTCGTAACCTGCTTCTATTTCAAGGAAAACAATACTGTTTTAATTCTTAAAAAACATATAGACAAAAAGAATTAGGTTAAGTGGTAAGTAATATGGCGACGGAATGTTTACAAACACAACTTTAAATCATGTGATTATTTCCGCGGAAATTTAATTATAAGTTCAAATGTGCAGTGAGATAAAAAAAAAGTTGAAAAACACTGCTCTAAAAAATAATTCATGTCGGATTAGAATCTAAAGAGAGCGGGCAACACGATACAATCCACGAATATCCTGATACGAATATCCTGAAAAGACAGAACGGTTTGTAGGTGATATTATGCTTAATAGCCGCATTGAATTCCGCGTTTCTGTAAGGGGTACCATTATTGTAGATAAGAAGTTTAGGAACCTACATGAGACTTGGGTGCAGATTTTATTTTCAAGGACGATAATGTCGACATATATACCTTGTAGACTGCACTCGTCAATGACTTTTTGACAATGAAGATATTATCTCATGGATTTTATATCAATGGCAACATCTCAGGATTTAAATTCCATAGAACATGTCTGGGATGCTCTGAGAAGTCGGGTTGCGTCCATCAACCTCTATCAAGAACATTCCAGGAGCTTTTGTTCAAGAATACACTTTGCTATTTTCATTAATAGTTAAATCGCTTACACCAGTGGTTTCCAAACTTTCTGTACCTCCGCTTCCTCTTTTTCAGAAAAAACTTGTTGCACTCCACTCAATTTTTGTAACAATCTAATTTCATAACTACTGTCCTTATAATTTATTTAATGACCTACAAAACAATATACTTTATTATATGAAGCATAATCTCGACAATAGTCGAGCCCCGGCGAACTCTTGTCGAGACGTTTTGGTAAGAGTGTGGATGGATTTTTAGCATTTGTACCCAAGTCGTTCGGACGAGGGTTGTGAATTAGGCATAACCGTTTTGCTGATTCACTTTCTCGACATTGATTTGACTTTTTTTTTTCGTTTGTTTGTATTAAAAAATGATAATTTGGTAAAAGCTGCGCGCTCCCTTGCAATAGCCTCGCGCCCACAGATTGGAAAACACTAGCTTACACCATCCTTAATTCTCACGTACCATTTTAGTGCATTATCTTCTCACTATTCACCAAAGATAATTCGAAGTAGGCCTTCAACATTCTTCTTTTTAAGCTCAAAAATGGAATGTCCTAATTGTTTGTCTGGCAGTGGAATTTCCGTAATTTTATTCTCGTTTTATCCGCTTTTTATCACTTGTGTATTTTTTTTTTTTAATCTTATTCTCACACTTATATTTATTTCGAACTTTTCATTTTAACAATCTTACCAAAAATATCAAACCTTTTTATATCTTATTTTCTTGTCAACACCGTTGTCAATTGTTTAAGACTTTAAGTCAGTGTTTCTCAACGGGGGCGATATCGCCCCTATGTGGGCGTTTTTCCATGTTGAGGGGCGATTAGTAACAATTTATATTTTGGGGGCCGA